GACTGTAGCTCTGAGGTGCTCTGCAATGAAGACCTCATCAAACACACACACACACACACACAGAGGCACACGAGAGAGAGAGAGAGAGAGAGAGAGAGAGAGAGAGAGAGAGAGAGAGAGAGAGAGAGAGAGAGAGAGAGAGAGAGAGAGAGAGTACCTTCCTGCAAGCAATGATCGACGCTCTCTCCTCGTGCTCACGCGCCCTAAAAGACAATTGAAATTTTTTATGATCCCAAAAGTCACGACTCCCCATTGTTTAATCTCGGCCATTAGATTTTGGCATATGCCCAGAATAAGTGTCCCCAGTATATGCTATTATTATACAGGCTCTTTCGTTTAAATATATGAGTATTGATTTGAGGTTGAGATTGGGGCCTTGGGTGGGAGTGAGCATGGACTCCCACCCAATTAATCAAGTCCAGTTGGATTTTTTTAAAACAGTTCATGGCTTTGTCTGTAAGAAAGTTGAGTAGGCTGCCATGTAGAGCTCCAAACCTTGTTCTCCACCACCTCAGCTGCCATGTACTACGCTGTGGTGATATCTCCTAAAGGTGTTGATCACCACTTTGTCGCGCATGTTTAGTTTGGAAAGAATGTTGTCGAGCTTGAGATCCTGGTGTACCATGCCCCTCCAATAAGTCTATTGGTCTTAACCAGCTGCTTGATGATTCTGGCTGCTTTCTCCTCACCAATCTCCTCGCAAATATGCTATATTTAAAAGACCAAATAATTATGGAATAATGCCTTAAGAAAGGAAGGCAATATTTCCACCAACGAACGTAACCACTCGAAGAAAAATGCCCGTGCCCTGTCCAAAAGGACACTCTCCTGGCGTTAGAGAGTAACTGAGGATCAAACGAAACAAACCTCGCCATGTAAGATTGCACTGCCTGAGCAAAGCCAGGCCTGTACTAGAAGAGCAGCCCACGGAAGAGTTTCCCATCGATGGAGGCTTCTAGCATGTATCCGTAGTTGAATACGTCGCTTTCTCTAGCCTCGAACATCTTCTTGCGGCTGAACGTGAGCTTGAAACTCTGTAGCATGAGTTTGACAGGGAAAAATTGAAGAGGTCCAAGGTTTTCCGCAGATACCTACGTGAGATGAAACCAAGCTCTTGTCCGCATCCCCGTTGCTTGTCTAGCACGAATGGCGTGGCACGATACTCTTTGCCACCTTCTCTTAAGTTCCTTACGCATGGATAGCTTTGGTTCTGATGGATCTTTCTCCCTCAGTATCTCTTCACGGGAAAACAGCAACCATATTGTCAAGAATGGCAGCAATGTCAATAAAAGAAGAAGCCAACCTGTGTCGAGGAAATACATGTCATCCAGAGCTTCAAGCTCTTTGTTACATCCCTCATAGACGAGTAATATGCCTCGCTCTGCGTCCACAGAATCTCCTGCAACCAGAGATTGAGAAGGCCTGGAACCAGAGGGATTCGAAGAGAAGGCCTGGAACCAGAGGGATTCGAAGAGAAGGCCTGGAACCAGAGGGATTTGAAGTCGCCCAAACACCAGTCGCTACAAAATACGAAAAAGCCACATGAGAGACCAACAGGAAACAAATCTACCTACAAGCGAGATACTTTCGACGGCTGTGGAGGAAGAAGAGGAAATTTATACCAAAGTCGAATATGTGCACATCGTTGGTCTGGCAACATCATTGGTCTGGCACTCGTCCCGGCTGTAGCCACTGAAGTGAACCGTGGGCGAAATTTTTTTTTTTTTTCTCTTGGTTCCAGCCTCGAGCACCTGGAACAAACAGGAACTTTAAGCCTCGAAAGAGAATTGCAAAGAGCAAGAGAGTGAAAAACCTTGATTCTAGTCGTGGTTCCAGCCTTGAGAACCTGGAACAAACAGGGACTTGAGAGACTCAAAAAAAGATTGTCATTTTCCGGCACGTGGCCATTGACAACGGTTTCCTCAGCTTTTGAACCGGTGGCAGCTTCAAATCTTCACGTACAGCTGACTGTAGCTCTGAGGTGCTCTGCAATGAAGACCTCATCAAACACACACACACACACACACAGAGGCACACGAGAGAGAGAGAGAGAGAGAGAGAGAGAGTACCTTCCTGCAAGCAATGATCGACGCTCTCTCCTCGTGCTCACGCGCCCTAAAAGACAATTGAAATTTTTTATGATCCCAAAAGTCACGACTCCCCATTGTTTAATCTCGGCCATTAGATTTTGGCATATGCCCAGAATAAGTGTCCCCAGTATATGCTATTATTATACAGGCTCTTTCGTTTAAATATATGAGTATTGATTTGAGGTTGAGATTGGGGCCTTGGGTGGGAGTGAGCATGGACTCCCACCCAATTAATCAAGTCCAGTTGGATTTTTTTAAAACAGTTCATGGCTTTGTCTGTAAGAAAGTTGAGTAGGCTGCCATGTAGAGCTCCAAACCTTGTTCTCCACCACCTCAGCTGCCATGTACTACGCTGTGGTGATATCTCCTAAAGGTGTTGATCACCACTTTGTCGCGCATGTTTAGTTTGGAAAGAATGTTGTCGAGCTTGAGATCCTGGTGTACCATGCCCCTCCAATAAGTCTATTGGTCTTAACCAGCTGCTTGATGATTCTGGCTGCTTTCTCCTCACCAATCTCCTCGCAAATATGCTATATTTAAAAGACCAAATAATTATGGAATAATGCCTTAAGAAAGGAAGGCAATATTTCCACCAACGAACGTAACCACTCGAAGAAAAATGCCCGTGCCCTGTCCAAAAGGACACTCTCCTGGCGTTAGAGAGTAACTGAGGATCAAACGAAACAAACCTCGCCATGTAAGATTGCACTGCCTGAGCAAAGCCAGGCCTGTACTAGAAGAGCAGCCCACGGAAGAGTTTCCCATCGATGGAGGCTTCTAGCATGTATCCGTAGTTGAATACGTCGCTTTCTCTAGCCTCGAACATCTTCTTGCGGCTGAACGTGAGCTTGAAACTCTGTAGCATGAGTTTGACAGGGAAAAATTGAAGAGGTCCAAGGTTTTCCGCAGATACCTACGTGAGATGAAACCAAGCTCTTGTCCGCATCCCCGTTGCTTGTCTAGCACGAATGGCGTGGCACGATACTCTTTGCCACCTTCTCTTAAGTTCCTTACGCATGGATAGCTTTGGTTCTGATGGATCTTTCTCCCTCAGTATCTCTTCACGGGAAAACAGCAACCATATTGTCAAGAATGGCAGCAATGTCAATAAAAGAAGAAGCCAACCTGTGTCGAGGAAATACATGTCATCCAGAGCTTCAAGCTCTTTGTTACATCCCTCATAGACGAGTAATATGCCTCGCTCTGCGTCCACAGAATCTCCTGCAACCAGAGATTGAGAAGGCCTGGAACCAGAGGGATTCGAAGAGAAGGCCTGGAACCAGAGGGATTCGAAGAGAAGGCCTGGAACCAGAGGGATTTGAAGTCGCCCAAACACCAGTCGCTACAAAATACGAAAAAGCCACATGAGAGACCAACAGGAAACAAATCTACCTACAAGCGAGATACTTTCGACGGCTGTGGAGGAAGAAGAGGAAATTTATACCAAAGTCGAATATGTGCACATCGTTGGTCTGGCAACATCATTGGTCTGGCACTCGTCCCGGCCGTAGCCACTGAAGTGAACCGTGGGCGAAATTTTTTTTTTTTTTCTCTTGGTTCCAGCCTCGAGCACCTGGAACAAACAGGAACTTTAAGCCTCGAAAGAGAATTGCAAAGAGCAAGAGAGTGAAAAACCTTGATTCTAGTCGTGGTTCCAGCCTTGAGAACCTGGAACAAACAGGGACTTGAGAGACTCAAAAAAAGATTGTCATTTTCCGGCACGTGGCCATTGACAACGGTTTCGTCA